TCGATGATATTTGGCAGGTCACAATAGGGTAGGTTTTTCTCGTATTTGATGAACATAAACACAAATGTTATTACAATAGTCATCTTTAGGTTTGTCAAGTATACATTTATGCCAAATTGCAGTTCTCCTAACGGAAAAATGGTGAATTTATTTGGTTCCTCAAGTTTCAGACGCAAGCTATCTTGAAACGAACCGTGAGACGTTTGAATAATATGGTTATATTTTGTTCTTTCAAGAGAAACAATTATTAAGATAATGCTTTTGAATAATAATAATAACAATTCAGTATATAAATAAGCTTTGACTCAATTTATTTGGTGAAAAATTGTTCAGTTAAGTTTTAGAAAGGCTGAATTGTTGCAAGAGAAATAGAGAAGCAGGAAAGTTGAGTTCTGATAGAGAGATTTTGTCACATGACCTCCCAGTCGGTGTGATGGTGACTTATAGCGTCGGACTACAGTCACCGATAACAAGCTCGAATATACATGCATGAAAGGTGTAATAGCATCTTTTTATGTCTCATCGTCGCGTATCCAGTGAAAACGTTAATTATTTTTCGGTGGTAAAAATGGTAATCATGTTAGTCTGTGAGATAACTAAAGTGCTATTTGGTCATCTGTTCCAGAGAAGTGATCACTTCGATTGAAATATTTGAATTTTATTAAAGTTTCGGTGTTTTGTCTGTAAATGAGTTACATGAAAATAATATAACTGTGAAAAGCTGAATGATTGAATATTTTAGCTCTATTTCATGCAGTAGGCAAAAAGATCACTATCGTACACTTCTTAAGTACAGCCACACTGATTCACATGCCTGAAAATGTTGTCAAGGTCAAACAAAAGTTAGTGGTACCTATGAAAGTACCTTTTTAGTGATGTATGGATTGATTTGAGCTACTGAGTACAACACATTGTTGTTCATGAGAAAGTGACAAAGCAAAATTCAAATTAGAAAACGCATGAATGTTTGACTTGAAAGCAGTAAATCCTACAGATTAATTTGAAGGCTCATAAGTCCAGGTTAGCTTGTTACTTACAGTGGTTACTGAGGAATGCACTTCATGGGGTTATTTGCATTTATTAGGCTTATCACAGTTACTCTAGATAGCTATGATCGCGATTGGTTGACCATGGTAAACGGATTATTCTATTTGTTCTTGTTTGCAATTTGTTCAAATTGTGAATTAATGGGTAAAGTGCCACCGACCATGATCTGTAAAAAGCAGGTAAATCGTTTTCGTATTCGTCCTTAAGCTCTTCGCCGGTAAAGGACGCACCAAATCAAGCATTGATTCATGCCTGAAGTTGGTAGTCAGGTGATATTCAATCGTTTTGATGTAAGCATTTCGATTGGTTGGATTAGTGGCCCACTCAGATTATGACTAAACGGTTGCTAATCTCAACCATCCTGTGTTTATGTAGGTAGCTTTTGGGTTAAAAAGTGGCACTACGCTAAGAATAGAAGACCTAAATTAGGCGTTTTAACATAAATATTATTTATCGCCAACATACCACATCGATAATATCCCAAAGACCAAATTGCAATGCCAAGAGG